TAAACTGCTGTAATGGCAGACAGTAGCCTTATTGTGGCACTATGAAGCTGCATTTTGGAGGCACCACATACATCCCGCGGACAGAACGTGACAGTTAACGGGTTAAAAAGAGCAGAGAGCTGCTGCTAGTATACCACTTGCTGCATGTCAGAGTTGCAGAACTCATGTTTCTTTCCTCTCAGCACAGAGCAGTAAAGGAAACATGTTGTCAACCCCCTCGCCTCTTTCTTTGCCTGCTTGTCTCTGCTACTCCTTCATTGCCCGTGGCCTGAGGGAACTGTTGGCTTTCTGAATGCTCCCCCCTTCCCCCTTTTGTAAGCTCACATTGATTGGCTCCTCACTACTACCCCCCTATAACCCCCCCCTCTACACCCCCACCCTCCCACCAAGGCAGAACAGCATGGGGTGTCAGCAGCCACTGTTCTGCTGGTGCTGTTAGAAAAGAGAGAAAGAAAAAGTCTGTGGCCAAATTCTTACACGAGGAGGGAAAATGGTCAGGTGCTTCACCACTGCTTGTCAAAGTATATATCCTTTCCTCATGTCTACCTCTCATGCACTAATGAGAATCAATGGGATTCAACACATTTCCCTCATGTCTTTGTCAGATCTGTTTGCAGAGTCTTGTCCTCAGCCTCATAATTGCCCTGTGTTTCCCTCCATCCTCTTCTTTTTCCCACCAAGCAGTCTGCACTGCAGGCACACAAACCCCCACAACCTCAATAAAACATGTCTTTAGGGGTGTGCACAATCTGTGAGGACTGAGTGAAATTAAATTACAGAATCATCTCGTCATCCAGTTATTTTGAAATTAGGCAGAAGAAAGAAATATGCCAGCTGAGTTCTTGAGAACTGGCATAATTATACCCTTGGGAGTGTTCGACTGCAGAATAACACATATTGGTGAGCAGTGTGAGTGTCCACAGCAGGGCAAAAAGTGAACACTGAGAACACATTTGAACTGGAGTACAGCCAGAGGTTGGTCGGTTTTTGTGGAGGATGTGGGCTCGTCCCTAGAGCCCAGTGGTTATTCATTCATAAACCAGGTGGGAACCGTAAATAAAAAAAAAAAGCTTGGATATCTCCCTGAGATTTCAAAGATCACATTGTGCTGTTTTTATTTAAAGAGAAGCAAGATGAAACATTATTTATGTATTTTTCTAAGGTTTTATGTAGGTCAAACCAATTAATTTGGGATTTTAAAAGGAATCTATTAATGAGCAATTAGAAATGTAGTGATGTCTTAGAGTTGAACTTTATAGTTGAACTTTATATTATATGCTAGGCCTACTGTGTAGTTCATTTTTCATTATTAACTCAATATTTTAAGTGCAAGAAAATGTGTTGGTTCTCAACATTTCAGAAATGTTCTCAGTGGTGATTGTTGCTATTTATTAAGCTATTTTATTTTTATTTTAATGTTCCCTTTTCATCAAGTATTCAGTCATTTCCCCTTTATGACTGCTTTTGTTTAAACTACTGACCAATTAATTCCCCCCCAATGGTCGTTTTGACAAACAATGGTTTAAAAAAATTGCTATAATTTACTTATAGTCAAGGAAATGTCATAGATTGCAATAAATAGTATATATCAGCAGCTAGATGACATTATGGTCCATTACATCAGCAGCACTCAGTTGTGGATGGATGGATGGATGGATGGATGGATGGATGGATGGATGGATGGATGGATGGATGGATGGATGGATGGATGGATGGATGGATGGATGGATGGATGGATGGATGGGTTTCTTTATTATTAAAGCACTTATATCTAGCTTTTATATATAATTGCTCTGCCTGTGATGCTATAATCAAATAACACCCCTTTATTTAGATATAGCTTACTTTACTTGTCTTGTGTCCCAATTGTAAATTTATTTCCAATAGATTCTGGGATTATACAGCAGGTTTTTGTGCTGATTATTTCTGTTCATTGCTCACCTTGCAACAATCATCTATAAAGCTGGAGTGAGCTTTATTACAATTAACAGCTCAATACATTTTTATTGGGGCTTTAAGCTCCCGGATAGCAAACCATGTGCAACAAATCAATGACCAATTTTTTCCCAATCTCAGTGAGCAGGAAATGTACACCTTCACTAATTCATGGATCCATGCTGGAAATAAATAATTCCTGTTACCTTTTAGCAGGACAAATGGTGCCTATTGTCTCTGCACATCCCTCCCTCCAACTTTAGACAGCTGGGGTGGAAAAACAGGAAAGGTTGACTGAATTGTAATAGAAGGTTAAGGGGCTTTCAGCGATAACTTCTGATACAGGAGCTTTGATTGCAACTTTCTAAAGGCCAGCACCAATAAGCGAGGTGGTGTGTTCCTGATTTCTCCCCTGCTGCTTACAAGCAGGTCACCATGGACAGCAGCAGGTCACTCTGAGTCAGTGTGTGTGAGGGAGTCGGGATAGATGCGGCTTGGCCCCGGTTATTGCTCCTTGACGTCAGTACTCAGCCCAGCCTAGTCCTGTTACTGCTGCTGCTGATGCCTCTGCTGCTGCTCCACTCAAACATGTCTTTGTTATTCAGAGCTTTTCATCAGAGAGTGGTGAGCTGCAAAACATGGAGGCTGGAACACAGATGGATGACAGATATGCAGTTCACTTACATCCATCCTTAAATCGTGCAGTTTAACACTGAACAGGGTAATTGACTGAGATTAGATGCTATTATACGCACAAATCATTTGCTATTAAATACATACTAGCATATAATTATAATGTGTTGATCATTTGGGGATAATCACCAAATACCGATGAGAACATGCAGTGTAATGAGATTAGAAGTAATAAAAAGTTTGTATATTAGGAAACTTACGTGACATCACAAAAGCTGGTGGAGTTTGAGGATGGGAGAGTCAAAGTGTTATTCTTTTAAATCTTTTTAGCTATAGCTAGAGAAAAGTTTTAAATTCTTATCATAGTAAACTATCTATGTCACCAAAAATGGATAATCATATGAAAGAATGCTGACATAACAGTTTCCAGGCAGAGTCACTGACACGCTGTGGAAGGTAAGTCCAGAAGTTATTGCTAAAGAAGAAGGCTGTTCCAGTATTTTGATAGAAAAAAAAAATACTGCAATGGAAAATGTGAATCTAGTACGGATAAATACAGCTATGAGAACATTGTAAAGTAAAGCCCCTTAAGAGTTTGTAGGAGATAAACCAGGTGTGGGCTACAGTTGTAGTCACAGCTTCAAGAGCCGCCAGACAGACATGATATGGGCTAAAACTGTTAAGCCTTTCCCAAACCAGAGGCTACATCAGAATGATGGGGTATGGAGGAAAAGGGCTACGCTGTTGCTCATGGTCCAACGTTCTAACATCTCATGAAAATCAATTTTGCATTCCATTTGAAAATCAAGGTTTTCAGAGCGGTCCACAAGTACACATCAGAGCTTTTAATGCTAAAAAGCTATAGGGGGGGTGATCATTTTATTTTCAACAGCAGTTGATCTTTCAGCAAACCTGCTTTACTTAAACTCAAATAATATTTTCAGGCTAATTATTAAGAGGAGGACAAAATGCACCCAAGCCAGTGCTGCAGCTATGCCGATTTTAAAGTATCCTGGGCTTCCTAAGAGGGTATCAATAACTGCTGGAAAATGTAATCCAGCAAGTAGGAATGTGTTTCTTTGTTAATAAGATGTTTTATTGGTCAACACTCAGTCCTTGTTGTCTTTGCTTCCCTAGTGACTTTTTTACAAGGAATTAACTGGTTGTTTACGTCCAGTTTACATCTAAGTGCGGTGACCCTTAATCCTTTAAAGTCTGGACCATAAAATAATTGAAAGAAAAAAAAAAAAAAAATATATATATATATATATTATTATTATAATTGTCATTGAACTTTCTGATAAATGGAATATAAACCACACATTTTGTATAAGCTAGGTTGGATAATTTATTTCCATCAATTTTAATATATTAATTATTTCTGTATAATCTTTTATAGGCTTTCTGTTCACTTCATGTTTCAGATTGTTTAAGTAGAGGTTTAAAGAATAGAAATATCAGACCTATGATGCAAATATGATGGATTTGGCTTTAAAGGGTTAAAACAATGATTTCAGTGGTAGTCATGGGCAGTTCTAGACTGGAGCCAACGGGGGCCAGTGCCCCTGTAGATCATGTCCTGGCCCCTGCACCGAAGACATAATACTCTAATAAAATTCTAATTATATGCGCTGGAAGAGACATGGTTCATTTTTTTCTTTAACAAATTCTGTTTTACTATATATATATATTTTATTTATTTTTTAATATCCCAGTTTTCATCTGCTGAATATTTTATTCCAAAACAAATTTTAAAAAACAGCTGAATTTATCAGTTTTTCTCGAGTTCTAATTCTGTTTTTATAGGAAACCATAATTTTAACTTAAAGTAAAAAAATATGTTAAATTCTAAATGAATGAATGAATGTATATTGTCCTACTATTCAAAATAATAGCTTTATTTGATCTTTTAGATATTTAAATACCTACAATTTTTTATTTTCTTTTTCGCTATGCTAAGGGATTTTTATTTTGATTTTAACGACAATCCAAAAGAACATTTTCAAGCAAAAGAAATTCTATTTTATATTAATATTTATACATATAATTTTAATTACACCTAATTGGATCGAAATTTCACTTCATGCAGCTCTCTTAATAAAATTTAATCCCACGTCAGTTTTTTTTGCTTCATGCTTTTCCGTGCCACCATGAAAGCACACTGGCCCCCCTCCTGGCCCCCTGGAAGATTTAGTCTAGAACCGCCACTGGTGGTAGTGCCAATAAAGTTTCCCCCTTAATCCCCTTTATGGTGTGGTTATTCTTGACACTTTGTGCCTTTGTACTGATATTTTTTTCCTTCCACTTAGTTTTCCATTAAAAGGCTCCAACACCTTGGACATCTGCTGGGTAAATAACTCCTCCCTTTGGTTCCATATCCGCGCGTAAGAACAAGGAATCCGCCACGCATTTTGTCGGCAGCCACCCGAGCTCCGGGTCCCTTCGGTAATAGAATAGCCGATGTAATTTGACACTTCAACTTACTGAGCTCTCTCTGAGTCTATTCAGTTACTCAGTCCCATTCTCAGCGGCCGTATGTGTGTATGAGAGCGCGTAAAGGAACGGAAGATTTCTGAAACGACACGAGAATTATTACCAAGGACTTTCTGCGCCCGATCGCACCCCGGTGAGTGGCTGCAAACTTAACGCGTTGCAAAAGGAAGGCTATTTATTTATGTATCATTGTTTGTTGCATTTAATCCGTGTGCGTTTCCAGTTTGGCTCAGATTGTTTCTTTAATAATGTGGCCGCTTTCAACTGGCTCTGAGCTGAGTGTGTTAGAATGAGCGGCTGATTGCTTTCTCATTAGCTGTTCTTACTATTTACTTCCAGGCTGGGATTGCGCTTTTAGATGCGCGCCTTGATCTCCGTAATCTCTCCGGAGGTTACATTGTTACAGTGTGCGCACGTTTTGCTCTGTATGCAAACCCAAGATTGTGTATGTTTCCGTGTTTTATAGATTTTTTTTAAGTTACATTTAAGCTCCTGGTGTATCTCAAAGCACATGGCTGCGGGGATGCAAGCCGCAACAGTGGAGACGGTCACTGCAGTGCAGATCACTCTGTGGATGTCATGTTTGTATGAGCGCTTCTGAACTTTGATAACAGAAACACGTGTGATCTGGTAAACACAAAGCGGCTCTGGTTGTCTTGCGTGCTGGGACGTGATGGGATTTAATTGTTTAGGAGTTAATAAATAAATATTTTAAAAAAGAAACCCATCTCTCTGAATTTGAGGGCATTTTTAACCCTTTATAGGGCAAGTTACTTGAACACTTGCATAGGTCTAGAAGCACAAGGTCAGCAAAGATACTGCTATATTGCTGTACATCTTATTTTGATAATAATGATATATAACCTACTGTAAATTAAGTAAAAAAAAAGTAAGAAAAATCTGTAAAAAGCTAATTGAAAAGTTAAAAAGTGAATAAGCCTGGTTAAAAATTATATATAGGTTTATAAACTAAAAAATCTAAGGTTATGTTGTACCAAAAAAAAAATGAAAAGATAAATAAAAATAAAGGTTTTCTTGAATTTCTTACAGAAGCATTTTTGTTACTTTTCTTAATATATCCGGGCAAGTTATATATTCAAAAGTTTTAAAAAGATGAAATTTTCCAGTTAGCTGTTCCAAACGAAATTTCTTTTTGTTTTACACTTGTGTAAACAAAATGACAAATAAAATCTGTCTAAGTTGGCGTTTCTTGTTATTATATTGATATTCATACTTGCCATCAAAATATCCATATTTTTTTAATGTTCCAAAGGTGATACAGTCTTATCCTGAATTGCAATAACACTATTGGCTTAAAATTTAGATATTTTTCACCGATTGCCCTATAAAAGGTTAAGGGGTTAGTCCTCTCATACACAGAGGGAATATAACAAAAAAACAAAACAAATAGGGGATAAATATAACAAATAATGATTAAGACGCTGCCATAAAATGTGGTTCCAAGGGTGTATTACAATCTTTACCTATTACTTTCCAGTATTAAGTGTTCTTAAGAAGATCATTTATATCAGCTGTATATGTAATCTGATCAATATAAAATAAAATAAGACTTTCCTTCAATAATTTTGATGGGATTTAATAACAAAAAAAAACTCAAAATAATCTTGTTCAAAAGTATGAATCAGGATAACTGTTAAAGTTATCAATCATGACAATTGTTAAAAACAAACACGTGGAGAAACAGTGATGCCATTTGATTTTTTGAATTATTGATCAAATGGAAACTCATGGAGGCAAATAATAACACTGAAGTCAATAATTTCCGGCTACGTTGTTCAGGTGAGAATTCTCTTAGTATCTATATTGTTAGATTATAGAGCTGATGTAAACTATTCATGTCTTGTGAGGAATATGTTATTATATGGTGAAACCAAGGTTAAATTTTTGGCCACAGTTCAAAACACTAAACTACACCCACTGTGAAACATGGTGGTGGCAACATCATTGTCTGTGGTTAGCTTTCTACAGATGAAACTATTTTCTGCTAACACTGATAGAATTCCAGCGATTCAAAATACCAGCAAGTTTAGACTAAACTGTCAATGTGCGCTAAGAGAGGTGAAGATAAATATTCTTCCACCAAAAAATTTGAAATTTTAATAAAAAATGTCTCAACAAAGCATTGGCTTATGTTGCAACTTTTTGTGACTTTTATGTTTATTTTGCCCAGGGATGTGTGGACTTTTATATCCACTGTACATCCGTCCAGGAAGCCTCCAAAAAAGACAGCGTTCCCTGCTCCACTTCCTAACCTATTGTCAGTGACGAGAGGGAGTGATTGTGTATTTTTTTGTCTTGCAACCTACACTTGACTCCTGTTCCAAAAAGTCCCACTTTTGGGGGCTGCTAGCAGGCAGGCATACAGACAGACCATACTTTGGGTTTCTCCTCTGCTTTTGCTACAAGAGACTTCTTCCTGTTGCTTATTATTATGCTGTTAAAAGTTCATTCTCCTGGAATGTGGGAGTGTATGTGGGTTGGTTGTTTGATTTTTTTTTTCTTTTTTACTGAAATTTTCATCAATGATACATGCTTTAATGACTATTTTAAGCCACATTTTAAAGTTTTTCTTTTTCTTAAAGTGTAATCACACCAATAAAAACAAGGATTATTAGTAATCAAATGTGCTGTTATAGTTGTGTTATGGCCTATACAATCGCAGATAAGACTGCTAACTTTAAAGTGCTGCAGGAACACTCTCTAAAAGGAGGGCGTGCAACAAGAATATTATCTCTTAGGATTGTGGCTGTTCACATAATTTTATTTTTAAGCATATCAATGGAAAGTTAAGTGGAAGGGAAGACTAAAAGCACACGACCATAATGGAATAGAATATTCAAAACTACCTTTTTTTCCCCCGCATTTTATTGTCATTACACAAGTACAGAGCAACTCTCTGCATTTAACCTTGGGGAGCAGTGGGCTGCCATCGTGGGGTGCCCAGGGAGCAGTGTGGGGTTAAGGGTCTCTGGGCTGTTCAGTGGCCTGGAGTCTTTCGCATGAATTTGCATGTTCTCCCTGAGCATGCGTGGGTTCTCTCCGGGTACTCCGGCCTCATCCCACCTGTCCAGGGTGTATCCCGCCTCTCGCCCATTGACTGCTGGAGATAGGCACCAGCACCCCCCGTGGCCCCACTCGGGACAAGCGTGTCAGATAATGGATGGATGGATGTGGGAGTCGGGCTTGAACTCAAAACCTCAGGATTCATCAGCACAATACCCTAACCACTAGGCCGCCACCCCCCAAAGCAGGCATTAGCGTGAAGGGTCTTGCCTAAGGACCCACACTGGCACCACATTCCCCCCAGCTGGGATATGAGCCCAGGCTTCCTGTTTGCAGGAATGGTGACTTACCACTTGAGTTAGCCAGCCATTAACTTCTACATTTGATATAGAACTCATAGCCAGCTAAAAAGAATACATGGTTACAATATATGCTCTCAATTCTTAAGGTTCCAGGAGCTGCTGCATCATGGTTGGCTTATGACTCTGCTGATATTTGTATTGTTGGCTCTGCACTCTTGAGAATGCCCAATTGTCTATGGTGTTTAGTTAAATAGAATTTGCAAGTCAGTCAGACCCAATGAGTTTAAGGCCATTTATACAGGTATATTATTCTTGTTGGCAGTTCCGACAGGTGCTCAGGCTTCCTAAAAAAGGAAATGTCCATGAAGCTTTTAAGCTAAGGGAGGCAGGAGGTGTTTTAATAGTTACTGATAGATCTCTGCCCAGATTTGATAAGATACCCAACAGCTACCGACATGATCACTGACTGTGGAAACTTCAGACTGGACACCTAGGAATTTGAATTTGGTGAAGAGCCAGCTGCTTTTGCAGAAACCATTTGTTGCATATCCTTCTTGTATCTGGTGTGCCTTTTGCTCCTACACTTTTTTCTTCCACTTGATTTTCCATTAGCATCCTATGATTTTCACACCCCTTTTTAAAGTGATTTCGGTGGCTTACCCTCATTGCAAAGCATGGCAATCTCACATGTACTTAAAATAGAAAATTTGACACTTTAATTCGCTGTAAGCCACAGTTATCAAAATCTGATAAAACGACCAGTTAAATGTACTGCATACATCTCAACAGATATACTACATGGCTTTAACTTGCTAGAGAAAAACCCATAGAAGTTTAATGCAAAACATAACATTTTCAGTTCCAGCAGAATTTCTAGTTTATAACTAGGAAATCCACAATCATTCAATGATCTGATATACTGCTGATGCTGCAGCATTCCATGTTTGTTCTGTGCAGCTTTGAAGAGGTTATCAAAAACATCAACAGATTTCTGTCAGGAATTGATTGCAATTTTATTTGTTTGGCGGGACATTGCTGCACCTGGTGGTTTGATCCCATCTTTTCGGTCATTGCGCTTGACTGTAATGACAAGATAAAACGTTAACTGAAGAAACTTAAAACTTCCAATTGGTTTTTTAGAAAACTTAAAGGGAGGGAAGGTTTTTCTTTTCCCTCCCAACCCCTCCTTCCAAATCACCCCCATCCCAATGGGGCCCCCAGGCAGACCCCACCAGGCTGACCTTCTTCTATTCAAGTCGAGGATGTTGAAACACCAGCCCTCAGACAAAAGACACATTGAAACGGAGATCTGCAACCCAGCACGTGTGTCTGGAGCTGCTGAAGTAGACCATTTATTAACTCCCAGTATCCCTCTGACAAGTGAAAAGCATCAGCAGTGTCGGACAAAGAAGTGGCAGTAGAAACACAACATCGACAGATTACTGAATACATTTCAAACTAAATAAAAATATTCAAGTTTATATTGAATTCAAATTTGATATGTCAAAAAAAAAAACAATATTTAAAAGTATCCCCCTTCCATTTGGTTGGGATAGGGATGATTGACAATAGCAACACGTTGGCGGCAAAGGAGGAAGGTTTCCCCACCCTCCACCCCACCTGCCGGATTGCGAGTAAAAGCGGAAGCTGCAAATGGCTGCACCACATGGGAAATTATTCAGCTCTCAGATCAGAGAGGACACACAAGAGGCCTCATTACCTCCACAAGCACTACTGGCCAGCCTGCAAGGAAAGCAGAGCTCTAGTTTGTGTGAAATATCAACTCCACATATTAACTATCTGATGC